CCCAGCGAATTCCACAGGTATTGATGTTCACCTGCGGGATCGAATGTGATTCAATCAGCCCGTGCAACGTCCACAGGAGCGACAACCGCGGGTGCGTGTCGAAGGAGGGCGACGACGCAGAGGAGCAGTCGAAAACAGGCGCCGCAGCTTTGGCGGTTTAAGATCTGCCGGGGCTCAGGGGCCCATGGCCCACCCATGGGGGCGGGGAGGGGAGGTCGGTCGCGCAGCCAAGTCACTTGCAAGTCCCACCAGGGCCCAGGGGTCCAGATGGCGGCCCCGACAGGCAGCTGGATGATATTTTGTTTCGAACATGGGGGGGGGGGGGCCAGGGCGGGATGCGGTGAAGGATTGGAGAAGGAGGGCGCTAGGATGTGGATGAGAGAGTGGGATGACGGAGGAGGGGGGCAAGTCAGGGAGAGGTCAAATGACGTTCCCATCCCCCCTCGCGCCCCCGCCCGCAGGCAGGACAGCCAGGGCATGCATGAGGTGCATCGCCGCGCACCACCCGGCGGTGTTTATCATTGAGAACGTTAAGAATTTGTCGGTGAAGCCCTCTGACGGTGGCCCCAGCAATTTGGATTCAATCGTGGCATTGGCCAACGAAGCGGGCTATTTATGCACGCCGCTCGTGCTCGATGCTTTGGATTACGGCGTGCCTTCCAAGAGAGAGCGGTACTACGTGATCGGAGTGCGTATAGCAGATGAGAAGATCTCCCAGCTTGACGACGACTTCGAGGCGCCAGCCTGGCAGCGGGACATGGTGGACATGATCCACGCCATCGCCGGCATCGAAGGCTGCGCGGCGAAGTGCCCTTGCCCTTGCCCCCCCCCCCCTCCTCACCATGCGGAGCCTTGGCTTTTGGGATCCCCGAGCCCCTCTTAGGCACTCGGGTTGGCCTCAGCCCCCCTTCCCCTCTTGCCTCGCCACTCCGCTTCGGGGCTCTGCCATTCCCCCTTTGGAGCCCTCGCTGACCCCTCTCCGTGAACCCTCTCGGGCGTTAGGCGCAGATCTCCAACCTGGCCCCCCGCGAGTGGTCGCTCCAGCGGCCCCCGGAACGGTTTGAGAGCGTCCCCGGAGTCGTCGCAGGTTGCCCTTTATCGGCGTTCTTGCTGTCGAACGACGACCCCGCGGTGGCGTGGATGAACAGCGCCCGAAAGGAGGAGTCCGAGTCCAAGCCGAAGACGACGAAGAAGCCCAAGAAGGAGAAGGATAAGGAGGGGCCCAAGTACAGGTCCGACCACATGGACTACTACCTGCATGCACATATCGATTATCCTCCCACTTTTCCGGAGGAGTTCCTGGAGAAGGCAGCGGGGTTGCCTCAGCGGCCGAAGGAGTTGCTCTATCTCTGGGAATCAACTGAGGGGCCTGCCTCGGGGCTCAAGACCATAGACGTCTTGGACATGAACATGTCCAGCAGCTGGGGCAAGGTCCGCGAGAACCGCACCGCGACGATCGTGAGCTCCTCTTTGATGTGGGCCCGGGGGGTCGGCACTTGCGGCAAGGTCACTCCCTTGGGGCGGGGGGCAGCAGGCGGGGGCGGATGCGTGGGAGGGGTGATGTGGGGATGTGTAGGAGGAGCCCTGCCAAGGTGAAGGACAAAGTTGTGGGCAGGCTCTTATTCAGTCGGCTTTGCGGCTTCCTGGCGACGCCCCCATGACGCATCTGTTTTCTCTTCGGTTCTCGATTCTCGATCCCTCGCACCTTGCCTTCTCGACCCTCGCACTTCTCCCCCTCGCCTCTCGACCCATCGCTTCTCGCGCTCTGGATCCTCGCACCTCCTCCCCTCGAGCCCTCGCCCCTCGCCCCCCTCTTCCCTCGTTGCCGTCTCTCTCCTTCTTCGACTAGAAACGAGGACGGTCAGTTCGTCTTCGTATCCTCCTCTCCTTTCCCCTGCCCCGCATGCCGTCGCCGCGGTTGTCCTCGTCGTCGATTTCGTCGCCGTCGCCGTCGGTTGCTTCGCCGCTGCGCCCCGCCCTAGCCCTGGATGGCATTCAGGGGCCGTCGGAACAGGCGAGGAGTGCCTAGCTTTGCAGGGGTTCACGCATACGTTCCAGAAGCAGGCAGACAATTCGGGGTTCGGCGAGGAGTTCGGGCAGGACGAGTTGATGGACTTGGCGGGCAATGCCTTCTGCGGCGCTGTCCTCTTCGCTGTCTGGCTGGCGATCGTCGCCGCGGCCCCGTTGGCGGAAGCGGTGCGCCTGACTTCGGGTCGGAAGGCTGTTGTGGGCCCGGCAACTTGGGCGGTTCGCTCTTTCGCATCGCCTCCCCTCCTCGCCGACCCTGGGGCCCAGGGGCCGATCGAAACGCGTTCTCGGAGAGGGGTCGCAAGCGAGGAGGAGGAGAGGGCAGAGCCGAGGAGACGAGGGGTGGATGAGTTGAGCGGGACACCCTCCCTTCCCTACTCTCCCTCATCCTCGGCCCTCGGCCTTCCGCTTCGCCCTCCTCGCCCTCGTCACCTCGTCCTCCTCGCCCTGCCCCTCCTCTCGCCGCCCTCCCCCCCCTCTCGCCCTCTTCCTCCACCTTGTGATTCTTCTCGGCAGCCTCCTCAGTCCCTCGCCCGGGCCCGGGCCCCTCCTCGCCGCCGCGCTCTAGGACGAGATCGGCGTCGCGTCGCGCGAGGAGCAGGTCTACGTCAGCAGCAGCAGCAGCAGCAATTCAGATTCGGACGAGGTCATCGAGTCCGGCAGCGATGATGGCTCACGCGATGGCTCTCCTGACGGCGGGGACGGTGGCGGCGGGGACGAGGGCGGTGGCGGCGGGGACGAGGCCCCTTCCGCGATGTTTCGCGGCAAGGCGCATTTGTTCTTCACCATGCAGGCCTACCAGCAGATCTACGGATCCATCAAGGAGGAGTTGAATCACGTCGCGCACACCCACGACGGCATCAAGGGCGTCTTCGTCCCAGACGCCGACGAGTGGGACGTCTGAGGTAGGGGCCGCTCGCGCCGCGATTCCCTCGGGGGACGGGTTCTTGTCTTGAAGTTTCGAGGGCGGCTCCATAATGTACCACTTTGAAGTTCGAGGCTCACTTACCTGTCTTGAGGGCGGCTTCCTGTTTTTAGGGCGGATTCTTGTCTTGAGGGCGGCTTTCTGTTTTGAGGGCGGCTTCCCTTGGAGGACGGGTTCCTGTCTTGAGGGCGGGGCCCCGCGCCCGCCTCGTTGCCGCCACTTGCTGTTCATGGCGAGCTCGTCGGGTCCGATCAGTCTTGCGCTTCATTGCCAAATGATCCCGTCGTTCCGCCTTGTTCCACGCTTCAGGCCTTGCCCAACCGCTGGCCCCAGATCCCCCGAGATCACCCGAGCGCGACTCCGACGAGAATGGTTCAACGTGGCCTCGTTGGCTTCGTGGGGCGCTCGTCCCCCTCCCTCCCTCCTCCCTCCCTCCCTTCTCGCTCCTCCCTCCCCCATCTCGGCCCCTCCCTCCCTCCCTCCCTCTCTCTCTCTCTCTCTCTCTCTCTCTCTCTCTCTCTCTCTCTCTCTCTCTCTCTCTCTCTCTCTCTCTCCTCTCTCTCTCTCCTCCCTCTCTCTCTCTCTCTCTCTCTCCTCTCTCTCTCTCTCTCTCTCTCTCTCTCTCTCTCTCTCTCTCTCTCTCTCCCTCCCCCCCCTCCCTCCCTCCCTCCCTCGCTCCCTTCTTGCCCCTTCCCTTCCCCCTCCTCCCCCCTCTGATCTCTCTCTCTCTCTCTCTCTCTCTCTCTCTCTCTCTCTCTCTCTCTCATCTCTCTCTTTCTCTCCCCTCCTCTCTCCTCTTCTCTCTCACTCTCTCTCTCTCTCCTTCTCTCTCTTCTCTCTCTCTCTCTCTCTCCCTCCCCTCTCCCTCTCCCTCTCCCTCTCCCTCTCCCTCTCCCTCTCCCCCTCTCCCTCTCCCTCTCTCCCTCCCTCCTCCTCCCTGTGCGACGGCGGGGGCGGCTCCTGCAGCCAGCCAGTTGGTTCGCCCCCGCGCGAGGCTGCCCGGGGGCCCAGGGCCCAGGGCCTGGGGCGCGCTCCCCGCCGGAGCCCTGGCCGCCACTGGCCTGGGGCGCGCGGCCTCCATGGCGAAGGGCAAGAAGGAGAAGAAACAGGACATGATTCAGAGTTGATTCCTCCTTACCACCCCCAGTCTCCACCCCTGCTTGCCATTGCCCCCTTGGGCCGCCCTCTGAGGACAAGATCAAGGGCAAGGACGCGGACAAGGACAAGGACAGGTCCAAGGAGGGCAAGGAGAAGAAAGAGAAGAAGGAGAAGAAAGAGCAGAAGGACGAGGTCGCGGACAAGAAGAAACGCACCAAGAAGGGGGAGGTCGCAGAGCAGGAGGAGGAGGTCGCGGACGACAAGGAGCGAAGGGCCTGACCCGCCCAAGGGCGGGTTGAAAGAGGACGGGCAGGGGTTGATGGGGAAACGGGGAGGAGGGTTACGGCTACGGCTAAAGGGAGAAGGGGGAGGAGGAGGAGGAGGAGGAGGCGGAGGAGGAGGAGGGGGAGGAGGGTCAATGGATGGGGGTTGGTTACGCAAGGGGGAGGAGGAGGAGGAGGAGGAGGAGGAGGAGGAGGAGGAGGGGGGGGAGGAGGTGGGAGAGGAGGAGGAGGGCAGCCAGTTGCCCGCCCCTCCCTCGTCTTTCGTCCCAGCCCAGCTCTCGCCCCGCCAGGACGCGCGGGGCGCTCCGCCGAGCGGCTCGAGCGGATCCGCGCGCGCCCCGCCCCCGGAGCCGCCCGAGGGCTGCGAGGACTCCAGGGCGAAGAAGACGAGGCAGAAGCAGAGGCAGAGATCGCCCGACGGAGACGCGGCCGGCGCGCTAGAGGATGCGCCCGAGGTCCACAGTCGAAGCGCGCGTGCCGCAGCGCCGTCGCCGCGCCCGCTGCCCCCGCCCGCCCCCGCCTCTCCCGCGATGCTCCCCCAGCCATGCGGCATGCGCCAGAGCGACGTTGCGGGGGCGCGGGTGAGTGCGGGGGGAGGGGGCGGCAAAAGGGGGAGGCGGGCGCATCGACATCTCCGCGGCTACCGCCCGTCGGTTGCGCACGAGGGCGCCGACGCCGCAGGCGAGGCAGATGAGCCTGAGGTGTCCACTGGCGAATCGGGCGGTATTTGTAGTCTCCGCCCTGTTCGCCGTCGTCTCCCTTCCCCCACTTGTGCCCTTGCCTTGCCCCCCCCTTCCTCGCCCCTCGTTTGTTCTCGGCCCTCCAGGTTTTTATTGCCTCGAGCTTCGCCGCCTCTCGTGTCTCTCGATCTCTTCGATCGCGGGCCCGCCCGGCCCGCCCGGCCCTCCCCTCCTCTCTCCTCGATCGCGGGCCCGCCCAGCCAAGACGCCCGACGCCGCCGTCATCCTGCTGCGCCCCCCGCCGTTGCCCCTCGCGCTGCTTCGGGGCAGGTGACGGAGCAGCGGAAGGGGCTGAAGAAGTTCTGCGCCATGCAGTGCGGGGCGATCTGGAACGAGAGCCCTGACCCGTGCGACCCACAGCGCAAGGTCATCAGGTGGGAGTACGACACCGAGGACGCGTCGGCCCCCTCGTCCTCGCAGGGCTCGTGTTGCTGGCTATGCGGCAAGACTTGGCGCACCAAAGTGAGGCACTTGCAGGAGGGGCCTGACCAGGAGAGGGAGCACTATGCCAAGCAACTTGGCAAGGACAACACGAAAAGGGAGGCCTTCCAGCAGAAGCGCAGCGAGACCAAGGAGTCCGTGATAAAGAGGATGCTGAAGACAAAGAGGAGTCCAGGCTCGGCAGCCGCTCTCGCCTTCCCCGCTCTCCCCCACTTCAAGTCCGCGGCTGTCGCCGACCTCGGACCCCCCGCGGCCCCGGCTTGCCCTTGGGGCAGGGCTCCACAGTGCGGGCTGGGGAAGGCTGCAGCCGCGGCCTTGTCGCGTTGCTTGCGGCCCTCAGGCCGCAAGACGAAGCAGAGGTTCCACGTGAGGAAGAAGAGGTATCAGAATCGTTTCCTGGAGAAACCTGATGATTTATTTTACCCGATGGCGCAGTATCGCAAACTTTTCGGTGACCCGAAGTTGCCCAAGAATAAAGCTCTCAACCACGTCGTGTGCGTCATGGAAGGCATCCGCGGCGCGGCCGTCCCGGGATCGAAAGGCGACGAGCCAATGAAGATCAAGACTCAGCTCGGTTCCACCTTGGAGCACGAGGAGTCCGAGGATTTGGGCAGCGAGTCTGGGGAGTCCGCGGCAGCCGAGAAGTTCGCCGACTTGACGAAGGCAAGCACGGAAGCGTACAACAGCGCATGCAGGGGCGCCGTGTTCAGCGTGCTCCAGGAATGCATGATGGACGAAGAAGATCGACAGAACGAGGCTGCCAAGCTGAAGAAGGCGCATCAGCAGAAAAAGCGGCGCGCCGCCAAGGCCAAGGCGCCGGCCAAGAAGGCCAATTCCATGTGCTTCTTCGTCCGGGCGGCGAACGACTCCGACACCGACGACGACCTCTACTCGGACGACGGAGGCGCGCCACTTGCCAAGAGGGTTCCAACTTCAGCCAGCACGACAAAGGTGGTAAAGGCAACATCGAAGTCGAAGACAAAGGCAAAGGCGGCGAAGGTGGGTGGCACTGGTGACAAAGAAGATGGAGTAGGCGACGATGACACAGACCAAGAGAAAACAGCAGGTCGACCAAAACTGGACGTCAAGGAGACGTTGAAGGAAAATCGTCGCTCGTGGAGGCAGTGCAACGAGCGGTCCAATTACTTCGGCAGCGATGCGACGACCAAGATCCGTTCCCTCGTGCGTTGGGCTGGGGTTGCGCGCAACAAAGCAGCAGCTACCAAAGACGAGACAGAGAAGCATGCCTTCGAACTCATTGCCAAAACGTTCCAGGTGATGGAGATGGGCTGTAAGCTTTATAAGAAATGGAAGAACCGCCAAGGAGGAGATGCTGACAAGCATTTCGTGAGCTTCGACGAGGAGTGGAACTCGTTGACCGCCTTCGCGCTGGCCGACCCGCCCGTCGAGATCGATTGCGAGTTCTTGTGGCACACCAACATCACGCTCAAGGAGCCTTTTGCTGCGCCATCTCTGCGCTGTTGCTTATAGGGCATTTGTTCGGGGCGCCCCGGGCCCGGGCCTTGTCGCGCCGCACGGCTTCAGATTTTAGCGATCGGGGAGTTGCTTCTCGCTGGGATTCAGACGTGATGAGGAAGGCCTCTGGAGCCTGGCGGATGGGAAGTGCTGTTTATGCCTCTCTATCCCTCTCTCCCTCTCTCTCTCTGTCTCTGTCTCTGTCCTCCCCCTCCCCCCCCTCCTATCCTCCCCCTCTCCCCCGCTGCTTCGGCCCCCGCCCGTCATCTGCCCTTCTCGTTTCCTTTTTTTGTTTCTTTTCTTCTGGTCTTAGTTTTCCGTTCATCATTCCCCTGTCCCTTCGCCCTTCCGCCCCTCCCCTTCTCGCGCTCTATTCTGCTCATTGCTCGAGCGCCCCGCTCAGGCCGCGAGACCGTTCGACTGTGCCGACTCCCTGGTGCAGTTGCTCACGCGCTCGCAATTGGCGACGATGTTCGAGGCTTGCGCCCCGCCGCTGCCTTCGCCTTCGGCCGAGCCCCCCGAGGCCCGGGCGCCGAATGGCGCGGTGCCGTCGACGGACATCCTGATGGCCGATGAGCGGACCCCCGCGAGTGACGAGGCTGGCCCCGCCAAGGAGGCCGGCCCTCTGCCGGCCCACCTCTTGGAGGCCGCGTCGAAGCAGGCGAAGTATTTTGGCGAGTTTCTCACGGCTGCGCTGACGAGCGCGCGCCCATTGGGCTACGTCAAGGCAGAGTTGGGCAAGGCGTTGAATGTTATCTTGAAGCAGATCGCGAGTGCCCCCGAGGAGTACGACCCAAGCGTCGCGGCGCAGTTGCGAGACGTCCAGGCGCTCGTCCAGTTGCCGAAGGCGACGTTCCAGGTGGAGCCGCTGCAGCGTCTGGTGAAGGCCGACGCGTCGGTGGCCATGGCCTGACCTGGGTCGCGAAATGTCCGCCCCCATTGTCCTCCCCCCCCTCCTCCTCCTTCCCCCCCCTCCTCTTCCACCTTTCCCCCCTCCCTCCCCGTCCTTCTCCGTCCCTCCTCGTCCGTTGGGGGCTGGGGCTCGAGGCGCACCTCTGCTGTGCTCTCATGGTTATCGGGGCGGGTTGCGCGCGCCTGGACAGAGCAGGCGTGGCAAAGGGTGAAATTGGAATGGCGATGAGTAGTGAGAGCAAGGTTCGAATTGGCGCTGCCCTGCCCCCCTGGCCGCCAACCCTCGCCGCTTGAATGGTGCTGCCCCGTTCCCCACCCCCCCTCTCGACCACCGTCCTCTCCCCCTTCCCCCGCTTCTTGCCCTTCCCTGTTCATCCGCTGCCTCCGGCCGGCCTCTCGCCTTCCCCCCTGGCCCGCTTGCCCGCGCGACTTTCCGATTCACCGATGGGCAGGGCGATCACCTAGCCAACTACTTCGTCAGATTCCCCAAGCACGGGGCGCCCTTGGTAAAAATGGCCACGGAGCGACGCCGCGAGTTTACCCAGCTGTCCGATTGGCTGCGCAAGGTGAAGGCCGAAACGGAGACGTTGTCCAGATCGACGCAGCAGGAGGGCGCCAAACCCTCGTTTGAAGACCAAGTGGCCACCTTGACTACCTCGACATTGACGATCAGGCAACAGTCGACGGAGGGCAAAGCTCGGCTGGACATGTTCAACGAGTTCTGCCCCGCGGATGCCCGCCAGTACGCCGACGCCGTTCGGTCCGCGGTTGCGGCCGCTACTTGGGCGGGCGGAGCCCATTTGATTGAGAAGCTCCTCGTGGACGACAACGGCGCGCCGCAGCTACAAGGGGCAGGAGCAGTCGCTCTTCCTGTCGACACATACAGGGCTTGAAGGAGGAGGGAGAGGAGGAAGGAGGAGGGAGTGGAGCAAGGAGGAGGAGGGGGAACTGATTTCATGTTTGGTAGTCCAGTCCCATTGGCCCCGAGGTTAGATCAATGATTCGTTCTGTTTACGCTTCGCATGGCGGCTAGCTCGCAGGACAGTCCTCCTCCTCCTTCTCCTCTTCCTTCCTTCTCCTCCTCCTCCTCCTCCTCCTCCTCCTCCTCCTCCCTGTCATCCTCATCCTCCCTGCTCCTCTTCCCTGCTCCTCCTCCCTGCTCCTCCTCCCTCCTCCTCCTCCTCCTCCTCCTCCCCCCCCTCCTCCTGCGCTGCGAGTGGGGCGGCGTGGGGTTGTTCAGGATAGGGCCGGGAGTTTGACATTCCCGCCCCGCCCTTCCCCCGCCCGCCTTGAAGGCCCTCGTCGACGCCACTGATCCGGGCCCGCGCCCTGGCAAGATGGAGGGGGAGCCTGACTGCGAGGCGCAGATGCAGCAGCAGTGGTCACGCGCGGTTCGCGAGACCGCACAGTGGGAACACGAGTTCGTCTTGCTCTATTCCGACGGCACCATCCCAGCTATAGCGGCAGGCAAGTCGTCGGAGCAGCCGGCGTCCAGTTTGCAGTGCGCGTCTGGTATATGCGAGAGGATGAGCCGTGTGTTCGAAAGTTTCATGAATTGCAGATCCGAGATTGCTGCGCCGCTCGACGCTTGGCAGGACCCGAGGGCTTCGTCTTTGTCTGCGGATATGGACTCCTTCTTACCCAAGCTCGCCACATTTGTGCAGTGCCTAAGAACCTCCATCATGCCCGCCTGTTCAGATGTCCTCCTGCGCACCCTCGAGGCGCCCGCGCAGACGTTGCTCGCGGCGTGCAAGGTTGCTGACGACGTGATCACCTCGGTGGAGAAGGCTATCGACGCGCCCGAGGGCCACGCGCCTGACTTGGCAGAGGTTCTAGGAAGGTATGGCGCCCTGAAGGTGAACGTCGCTGGCGCAGTCGAGCGGGTCAAGGACGTGAGCCTCGGAGACATTGACGGCGGGCGCATGTTCTTCCTCCAGCGGCGCAACCTCGTTGTCTCGGCGGCCGTCGACACCTTGAGCAACATTGAAGCAGGTAGCGTCGCGAAACTGAAGGTCACCGGCTGCGTTGCGGACACCTTCCTGAAGTTCAAGGCTCAGCTCGACACGTACACTGCATGGTTGACGAGTTCATCAGCGTCTAAGTATGAGGCCCAGGAGGGCTGGGGCAAGGACATGGACATTCAGCGCAGGAGTTCGGCGGCAGTGAAGGCACTAACGAAGATGGAACAGAAGATCTTGGCGCTCTTTGACCAGAGGGCTTCCGAGCTTGCCGACGTCATCTACAAGTACGCCCCCCCGAGCAGCCTCCTGGACAACTTCCGTCTCATCGGCGATGAGGCTTTGCAGAAGAACCTCGCCAAGCTGCCAGCCTGATGGCTCCGCCGCCGATCCCGAATGAGAATTGTCAGCCTCGGGCCGATGCGGTCGGATCGGGTCGACCAGACCAGGCGATGCGACCGTTGGTGCGGACTTCGGCTGATGTTCGGGCATCGCTTGGCCCTCTCCTCCCCCCGCTCCACTCGCCCCCACTTGCCCGAGCCCAGCTCTTAGTCCCTCGCCCTTTCTCCCCCGGCACCCCTCCTTACCCCGTCTCACTTTTCCCCTTGTGCTCGTGCGACCTGGCTTCCTTGCCGCCGTTGGTCCTCGTCGCGCCGAGGGGGCCCAGGCCGTTTTCTGTTTCCTTGGCCGCCCCTCCCGCGATCGCCCCCCGAGCGCACTCGCGGGGCCACGGCCTGGCGGGTTAATCCCGAGCGGTCATGGTGCAGACGATGGACGAGAAGAAGCTCATCTCCCTCGCCGGCTCGACGTTGGGGGTCCTGGGGAACATGGACACCGTTTACCCCAAGGCGAAGAAGTCTCCAGGTCATCCATTTCTCGCCCCAGCCTCTCACGCATTGCAGTCGGTTGTTCAGCAAGGGCTGGAGAGAAGCGGGAGGAGGTAGGAGGAGGAAGAGGAGGAGGGCGAGGAAGCACGATGGAGGAGTGGGAGGAGCAGGAGGCGGACGACGGCGAGCAGAATGGTGATGATGATGTTGATGATGATGATGGTGGTGATGATGATGATGATGACGTGCTAGATGGCATTCTTCTCATTCTTGTGTTGTTTAACCTTGGTTGTGTTTTGGAACGCAGCGACGATGGTCGAGTGTTTTTGTGCAGCGACGGCGGCCGAGTGTTTTTTACATCACTTATCCGTTCTCCTTCCTCCTACCCTCTTTTAGTACCCCCCCTTCTCTTTCCTCCTTCCTCCTCCTTCACTTTTCCTCCTTCCTCTGCCTCTGCCGCCTTCCGTCCTCCTCTTTATCCCATGTGCTATTTCTTCTTACTCTTCTCCTTGCCCATCCTCCGATTCATCTCCTCACC